TGTAAAGGTTAAGCACGAGATCCCCTCGACACTGTACTGTGTGCTTGTGCTTACCACTGATTAATGCAATACAAGTTGCCTTTTGTCTAATTTGTGTGCACTCTKRTTTCYTTTYGTGTGTTGTTGCTTGCATTTGTAGGCTTTCTCGACCCCAATCGAGCGCCGCACGGGGCCCCGTGACACTGTGGTCGCCTAGCCTCGCCTTAGCGCCTTGAAAACTATGGTCTCTTGACATTTTGCAGTTTGTTTCTTTTTCGTCTAAGATTCAATCAGTGGAGGTAGAGCCAAAGAAAGAGAACCAGGTGGAAAATCTTGAGGATGAAAGCATTGAAGACAAATCCGCAATATGAAGAAAATTTTGCAAATAATAATATCACTGCAGGTTTTGAAGTTTCTGGTAATGGTGTCGGTTCAAAAGCAATTGATAATGCAATAAAGGACTCTAGAACTTCAAAATGGAAATATTGGATCAGTGGTGGTAGTCGAGAAGGAAAGGGATATGAATGTGGTGAATGCTCCCCATGTGTTCGACATTGTGAATGGCACCACAAATTTGCTTTGCCTAAAGCATCAACTCTTATTGTATAAAATCAAATTTGTAACAAAGGAATCGAATATACTAGAAAAAAACTCAGAATCAGAGATTTCAACCAAAGTAAAAGGACGAGTAGAGTGTAGGCTGGATAACAGTGGAAAACAAGAATGTTGATCAAAAAAACAAATGTGAAAAAGAAAAAGACATGCAAGTCCAATGTGGAACCAGCATCTTTGCCTCCTACAATGCAAGTTCTGAGGTCATCAAAACCAATCAAAGGTTTCAACCCTCAGTATAATTAGTATATTTTGACCATTTTTTAAGCTTTTTTGCTCTAGTGTATAATACAAGGGGTCAGGTCATATCCCACCCTCCCAGTGATTATTAATAAGATTTTTTTCTTTAAAACAAAAACACACACAAAAGCCAAGTTTCCCAAGAAATGAAAATGAAAGGGGAAGTCCCTGTAACAAAAAGAATTACAAGAACAGACTGTAAGCTCCTAGTTATGAAAATAAAACACTGTTCCTGAGCTAGCTCCGGAGGTTCACCAACGGAACCTGAATACCTTTGGCCAAAAGTTATTTGAGAAACAGGCAATGTGATAGGGTGCCTACACAAATTTGAGAAAGTAATAAGATTAAGTTTTGGGTGATTTTCTGGTGCAGATATTTGATTCTTTGCACTAATTTCAAGACGTGTGATAGTCAAGTGTAGAGAGGATTTGATAACATCTTGAGTATTCAACTGCTCATACAAGTAACGTACCAGAGGAAATTTTTAGTAGTGTTTTTGTGTTGCTTCAACTTGTCTTTGGTGACAGTTCACCGAAGCCCAACCTGGACAAAAGCCATGAAAATGGACTGTCAAAACTTCAAAGCTATGCAGTTCTCCAATCTGCTCAGCCTTCACTTTGCTAACATGACCTTCACCTTTTTACTTCTTCAGTTTAAAATTCTTTTATGATGATTTAATTCTACAGGTATCCAAAACCAGAAAAAGATAAGGATATGGTTAATATTGAGAATGTGTTAGATAAATGAAACAGATCACTAATGGTACATATATGGACATGATGCAGAGGTCTACTAGAGAAAGAAAATGTAAGAAGGAAAAGACATGCTTTCGGATTGCTTTCTTAAGCATCAACTTTGCAGGGAACCCCTGCCATGATGTTATGACCTTGTCAAGCAGGAAATTTCCTTGTGCAAGAGAGGTATCCATGTTGATAATAGCTCAAGCATCCTATCCTCCATCTATGTACATAGAAAACATCATTAGTAAGTAGTAACACCGTCATGCAAAATAAACCAGGTGGTAGTGAGTAATAACAAGATAAAAAGTAAATGATATAGAATATGTACCTGAAGAAAGGGCTGATAAGCTATTTTTGTTTGTAAATATCTCTCGTCTGATCTTTCTTCAGAATACCATATTATCAATCTTTATGTAAGGAATATGTGCCATTTTGGACCAAGTTTTCCTTTTATTCTTAAGGTGCAGTTTCTTCAACAACAAAGAGCCCTGTATTTCTAGATGAGAAAGCTGGTTGAGCAGACGCACCCCTGACAAGGATGTGAGTTTGTAACAATTTATGATTACCAATTTTTCAAGCAATGTAAGGTTTGGCAGCCAATTGCGAAGGGATATTAATTTGTTACACTGTTCCAGGCAAAGAGACGTAAGGGTAGTGGGCAGTTGCAACGATTCCCAAGAAGAAAATGGATCATCACATCCTGCAATTGTTAGGTTCCTAAGACATGTGAGCTTGCATAGTCCCAAGTTGGCCAAGAGGCCAATCATAATGCAGTCCTTGATTTCCAGTTCTTGAAGACATGTCAACTTGTGCAAATGATCGGGAAGGGATGCAAGATTTTTGCAGTCCTTGATGGAAAGGGATTGTAGATTGTTGGGTAACCCCTCCTCAGGAAACGAACTGAGTTTAGGACATTTCCAAATTCGCAGCTCTTGAATTGACGTAAGATTGTGCATGTAATTTGGGAAGCACTCAAGATTCTTACACTCAGAGATCCAAACTGAGCGCAGGGTGATTGTGGTGGGTAGAGCTCCTTCTGGAAAAGATCTGCATGGACAGCCTTCGATTTCTAAATGCTCAAGTGAAGCAAGATTCTGTAAATCCTCAGGTAGGGATATCAGCTCCTGACAAGATTTGATCTGAATGGCTTTTAACGAAGTTTCCAAACCAAATCTTGGGATGAAATTAAGATGATCACACCCCTCAATAATCAAATATTTAAGAGATGGGTGGTTGTACAGCATCCCTGCTGGTAGGAAACTAATAGCCTTGCAACATTTGACCTCAAGGCGTTCAAGCCTAATGGGTAATCCTGTCTCGGGAAAGTTCATAAATTTACTACAAGATTCAATCTTCAAATCATGAAGAGATACGAGGTTGCACAAATCCTCAGGCAACAAACAGATCTCATTGCAGTTGACGATAGAGAGACTTCGTAAGCCAGTTAGCAAACCCAAGTAGTGCAAGTATTCCAGTTTATAACAATTTGAGAGACGCAAAAATTGAAGTCCAGATGGTAGCTCATCCATTGGCAAGGATACGAGTTCAGGGCATTTCTCAACTTCTAACCGGCAAAGAGAAGAAAGACATGGGAATCCCAGATTGTCCCTCAGATCACTAAGCATGCCACAATCAGAAATCTCCAAATCTTGAAGCAGCAATAAACCCTGCAGAAGTCCCTTTGGTAAACGTTCCAGCCTTGAAAAATGGGAGATACGCAATGAATGAAGTGAGTTGATGCCAGCAATGCTTGTTAGTATATTGCTCTCATCGTCACATGGCCCTGCCAAATCCAGTTCTCTGAGTGATGGAAGCATTGGAAGTGTAATCAATCTCTGGCATCCCAGCATTTTAAGATTTGTTAAGGCAAGCAGGGAATATGGTAGCTCTATCAACTTGGGACAATTACAAATGACAAGTTCTTGCAGGCCATGTTGTTCACCAAATGCTTTGGGTGATGCTTGAGCACTTTTCTTGCCCCTTTGGCTAACTTGAAGCAAATGAGCATCAGATGGAATAATTTCTGGAAGAGAAGTCAACTGCTCACAGTCTCTTATTTCTAATCTAACCAAGTTGGGGAAACAATGAAGCAATTTATCAGCCACGGTTAGGTTAGAGCAACTATGTAAGGTAAGTTTTCTGAGATGAGAAAATGTCCCTGTCCACTGTGGAAAATAGCAATTGATTGTGAGCTCCTCTAGGTTTGTATGAGGCTCTAACAAGTTGAATAAAGAGCAGACATTCTCATGAAACAATGATGTGAGATCATAAGAAGAAATCCAATGTAATTCTAGCCCACGAAGGTGTTCCTTATCCTTCAGAATGAACTGTTCCTTATCTTTGGAGTGATAAATACTTACAAACATTATGGAAATGCAAATGTTTCCTCGGAGTGATGACAAATTCCTTAACTCATTGAAAGAGTCATGCAGAACAAAATTAGACAAAGTTCTCAGATTCGTTAATCTGCCTATTCCTTGTGCTGCTAATCCCATTAAATGGAGGCATTCGTTTGTTTTCAGATGTCGGAGGTTAATCAAGCACCCTATATTTCGAGGCAACATAGTGAGTTCTTGGCAGCCAACAAGTAACAGAGTCTGTAAATTGTGGAGTGAACATATTGATTCAGGTAAACATCTAATTGGAGTTTGAGAGAGATCAAGAAGCCTCAGATGGATCAAATTGCTTATGGAATCTGGCAACTCAGTAATGTAATAATAACTCAAACATAACACACGCAAGCATCTTAGTTTGGTAAACAGATGATGGATGACCTGTTTAGGTAGGTATGAGTGCTCATGCTCATATTGAAAATATTGTTGTTTTAAGGGTAAGAAGGTGCGCAGATTCTCAACTTCATCAAAGATCTTAAACCTTGTTAACCCTTCATATTGTCTACGATAATATGAGCAGAACCGAGCCTTTCTAAAATCATACCTCGAAATGTTACCAGCATTGGTTCCACCCTCCAACCTTAGGCATGCTTCCCCTGAGATAAATCGTGCTAAGTCATTCATAAGGTTATGCATCACATACCTGGATTTATTGAGTCTTGATTGTTGAAAGAATGTTGCCTGAAGTAGATGGTTAAAATATTCATCACCAATGTCTTCCATTTCTTTCCCATGTTCTGGTTGCAGCAGACCTTCTGCCATCCAGAGAAAGACTAACTTCTCCCTGTCAAATTCAAAACCTTTTGGAAATATGGAGCTATAAGCAAAACACCGCTTCAAATGTCCAGGGAGATGATAGTAGCTTAATCTCAGGGCAGGAATAATTGGATCATTCGGTAAATTCCATATTTCACTGTTCAAGATTTTATTCCACTTATCTTCCTCTGTTTCTCCAAACAAAAGACTTCCAAGTGCTTTTGCTGCTAAAGGCAAACCTTCACATTTCTTGACAATTTCCTTGCCAATCAATTCCAAGTTTGTAGAAGCCAAGGTTTCATCTTTAAATGCATGGCGTTTAAACAGTGACCAGCAATGGTCATCTGATAGGAGTTTAAGCCTATAAGCATGAGCAGAGCGAGTAGCTTTTGAAGAAACAACTTCATTTCGTGTGGTCACTAGAATTTTACTTCCTCCTGTCCCAACTGGAATTTTTAGGGAATCCCAGGCAATATAGTTCTCAACCCAAACATCATCTAAAACAAGCAAAAACTTCTTCCCACTTAATATCTCCTGGAGTTTAGCTTGAAGTGGAGCTAGCTCATTAAGATTACAATTCTCTCCAGTGGCAGACTCGATAATTGCTTTTGTTAACTTCACCACGTTGAACTCTTCTGAGACATAAACCCACACTCTTAGATCAAAATCATTCTCTACACGCATATCATTGTATACCAATTGAGCAAGGGTGGTCTTGCCAACTCCACCCATTCCAATTATGGAAATTACAGGTAGCTCATTTTGGTTTGGTTCAAGTGACATCAGCAAATTAATTATCTCCTCCCTATCTTTCTCTCTACCGTAGACCAAAGATTCATTAATCAAGAAACCTGTCGGTCGATCCTGTCTTATTACAACTCCTCCAGTTCCCTCCTGCAAATGGAGAAGATCCCTTTCTCGTGCAATTTGCTCTAGCTTTTTATTGATTTTATCTATCTTAGAACCTAGCTTGAATTTAAAAGAAACAGCATGTGGGCTTAAATGATGAGGGACGTGTTTCTTCCATACCTTTCTTGCTTCGACTTCTGTTTCTACTCTCTGACGCAGAGCTTCAGTTGCGACCTCGTCCAGTACGTCCTCAATGTTGTAAGCTAAATGTTTGAGATCATCTAGCCACTTCTCCACCTTCTTGTCTTTCAATTGCTTACTCTCTGCGTCATTGAGCACGACCTGAATTTTTGATATTATACTCTCCAGTTTCTGCAGTTTCTTGTTGATTCTCCAGCGAAGTGCGACCTTTCTCACCTCACTAGAGCCCAACTGCCTGACTATGAATGTGAAGAACGCGCCAAGAAAAACTTCCCCAATGGCCATTTTGATCTCTGCTCCCTACTCTGGTACTCTGTGGAGAAAGGAAATGGAACCAGAAAAGACGCTCGGTCGATCCGGATGGGCTAGAGACAACTTGTTACAATGCAAGCTAGGCAACCAACTGCGTTGTAACACGTCGCACATTTTGTATTTATGTGAAACAGTGAAGGGTATTATACTATTATCCTCTGTTCTAGTTTACAGGTTTTACCTTTTGCAAAAAGAAGATACGACTGACGAGAGGAACTCGGTGGAAGAAGAGAAGGGAATGTCTCAGCTCAGAATCGGTCGTTTCAGATTTGTGTTTAAAGAGAAATCGTCGGAGCTTAACATGAAGCGAGAATCAATTTCCATGGTGGTCAATGGTGATCTGGAAGCCAAACCAAGTAGCGTTATTAAATGGTTAGAACTAGAATTTGCAGGAGGAAAGAGTTCGTTTTATCCCTTTTGCCAACTTCTTCTGCAAAAAACTAATGAAGTAATGCGTTGTTCTATGTTTCTTTTTTGAGAGGTTTTTAAGAAGGAGAAAAAGCATTCAGAGTCTAGGGTTCTAACCCTTTTATTTTGCAGCCTTTTATTCCAGTTGATGGTCTCAAACTGACCCAGGTGATGCTTTCGAAATGCAGAATTTAAATAAGAACCTCAAAGACGCTTTTGAAATGCTTTCGGGTTAAGGTTGCTTTTGAGTTTTGATATTTAATCTGCTGAAGGTGTGAAACTTTTTTTCTCGCCCACTGGTCGGGTGATCTTTGCTGCGTGTGGAAGCTATGTAAAACTTAATGACGTAAAAATTTACGGATGGAGTTGTTTACATTTTGTCAGCATTTCGATGCAGTGGAATTTTATTTCGTAAATTGATGTAAAATATTATTTATCAGTATTTGAATGGAGTGGAATTTTATGTTGTAAATTGATGTAAAATATTATTAAAAGTAAAGTATCCATAAAATTATCGATAAAATCAATGTAAAAGTTCAACACTTTTCGAAACTCAATGACAACATTTTTATCCTTCAGTTGTTAAAAGAAATCCATCCATGTACCTTACATTCATGACATTTTATATCACTTCCCGATGCAATTCAGTATGAACGTCTCCTGGTGTTTGCTTTGTTTGTGGTTGGGTGGGTCATGGTAGTATTCATAACGTTGAGGACCTTGAGCATTACTATATAGTTACTAGACTTGTTTATGGGTCGGGCTTTTATTTTTCATGAATAGAAATTTGTTAGGCCCGAGCTCAAGCCCGGTCTGACTAATAGGCCTACAATTTGGGCCTAAGCCCAGTCCTGATAAAAAGCCCAAATCCCGAAGCCCGACGATGACTATGTTCGCCAGTGATTGTGTTTGTCGGAGCTAAGTTTGCGGTGACTGTGAGTTGTGATTTTAACAATGAAAAGTGTGTCAGTTCGCGTCTGAGAAAGAGAGAGAGAGAGAGAGAGAATTCATTGCCGCCACCGGTGCCTATATTTTTCGTCTTGCCGATGTCTAAGATTTGAAAGAGAAGTGAGAAGAAAAACGAGAGAGAGAAAGAAAGAGAGAGAGAGAGAGAGAAAGAGAGAAGGAGAGGACTCATCGTCGGAGTTATTGTGCCAATGAATGTTCGCTGCCTCACCGGTTGTGTGGCTGCCTAAGAGTGTGAGGACTACGGAGGATGTGAAAACTAAAGAGAATAGAGGTTTGGCTAAGGGAAAAGAGGTGAAAGAGAAGAGAGGTTCAGCTTAGGGAGTTTGGGTTTTTTAAGTTTAGTCTATAGGTCGGGCCGGGCTATTTTAGCAAATCCCGAGTCCAGCTCGAATTTATTGTGGGTCAGGCTTTTTGGCCCAGGATTAAGCCCATGGGCTCATTTGCATGTTCAAGCCCGTCCGGGGGCTAGGCTGGGCCAGGCCGGCCCGTCGGGCCACCCGGCCCATGAGCAGGTCTAGTAGTTACATCCTTAGTGCCGTCAATTGGCATTTTGGCGTGTATTTGGAATTATGGGTGCTTATTGAATAAGTGTTGTCATATATAGACACCACTTCATCATTTCCCCTATTATGTGAATCCCTATGTATATGGACTTGCAAAAATAGACTTTGGTTTATGTGTACGTCTATTGTTGGGAGAAACTTTGTTTAAACGCTTCTCCCAATGGATAGGTATTTATTCACGGTTTTGCTGATGTGATGACTAATGGTGCTTAATAGCACCTAAGTGTCAATAAATGAATTTATCACTATTTTTCTTGGTTTTTCAAACAAATCAAATACAAAACATATAATCAATAAACAACATATCATACTTAGTCAGTTTGTGGGACCTGCAATAAGTAGGGATGATCCAGAAACTTTTCACTCTTTCCCGAATTCTATATTGGTGTGTGGATTGAGTGGTTGTGATACAAATCTAGAGGTTTTTTAGAGAGAGCTTCCATTGCAGCAAGAGGTGGCAAGGTGACAGGACTACTGATGATATAATGAAAGTGGATAGTCCCTTTTGTATCCCTTGTTTCTTAGTTGTTACTATTCTTTTCATTTATTAAAAAAAAAAAAGAATAATCTGGATTTGCAGTTGGATCGTTTGAAAAAAGAGTCTATCAGAATGGATTTTCATACGTGAGACGTCTGGATGTTTCCGCTTTAGGTATATTCGGATTATGGAAATAGGTTCGGGTTTAGGTCCTTATGAGGATTCGGATTCGGATACAGGTGTGTTTGGGTTTTTTTTATGATGAAGATCTTGGCTTTGTTGGTTACATGTTATTAGTTCTTTTTTTAGATTTTTTTGTTATTATTTTACCTTTGCTTATATTGGCTTTGCAAAGTAATTTTTTTTTCTGTTTCTATGTTTTTTCTCTCTTTTAGCTAATGTAGGGGGAGTTTCAGAGATGCAATATATGGAATCTTCTATGCATGATCTTTTACTTGAGGCCAGGTGATTTTTTTCTCTATTTGTCTGAATGGGGTGGTGGTGGCTGGCCCTCAACAGCCACATATTGGCTCATGAGAGTTTGTAGTTAGAACTATCGACGGTGTGGTCGTCCCTTGGCAATTTGAGGTTTAAGGAATTTCATTTTGTAAGCTCATCTGACTTTCTCTCTATGTGAAATGAAAGTTCCTTATGATAAGGCCGTTCATTTGGCAAATTCCTTACCTTCCCTAAGATCATGTTATTGTTCCCCAAAGGTTTTTATCTTTCTATTTTTAGATTTGATGATGTGCAATTTAGCAACACCTCGTTTACTGGTAACTCAGATGCTGATTGATGGTGTGCAATTTGATTGTTCTCTAGTCATTTGGCTACTTCTTGATGGCTGATGATTCTGAAGCCGAGTTGTATGATTTCTACTAGATGAAGGCTCGGGTGTCGAGCTGACTTGGCAGAGTTAGGGGGTTGATCGAGTACTAAGCTAGATTGATTATCGAGCTATGTAGCCTTTGCAGAGAGACCTGCAAGGAATTAACGTTAGAGGACCCAGGGTGGCTAACCCAGCAAGGTCACTCCGATGCTTAAGTTAGTACTCTTATAGTGATTGCAAGATAGAAATTAAAAAAGTATGAGAGCGAGAATGTACTTAAATGCTCGTACCTTCCCCCTTGTGTCACTGGAGTTGGTGCCTTTATATAGTCATTACTTGGCATGGGCTTCACGCACCACATTCCTGATTTATGGGAGGCCATTCCTAACTTGTCTGAAATCCTCGGAGGTAACCGCCACGCACGTTGACCATCCTCCGGAACACTAGGTATGTGGGCCAACTTCTGAGAAGCTTGGGAGTGTCAAGATATACATATCGAATTTGCCAAAGAGCACAACTCATAGGTCACCTCCTAGACCTCAGTCAGGCTAGCAAGCCCTCGAGGGAGGTCGCTCCTTGCGTCGAGGTCACTTCGGCCAGTGGCAATGTGCTACAGGTCGACCCTGGACGAGGTGTTGCAAGCTGACCTAAGTTGTGGTTGAGGTCGCCAGGTTGGCGGTAAAGGCAGGTCTCTATGTCGAGGCGAAGATGAACTACGATCTGGGACTCCAAATCATCGCTTAAGTGGCGTCTGGGTGTCGTCCAACTGTTTCGAGATGCCCTGTGTCATGAGGTTATTGGAGGACCAAATCCGCCTTCATCAATTGCCCCCAACTTCTGAGCTGATAGCAACTCGGCGAAGGGAATACACTATTTACCTCAATGGGATTAAGTGGTCCACGGGCAAATAAATGTAATCTCTGAGGTTTCGTTTTCAGAAAAACCTCCCAAGTGGTCTAACAAACCTGCGGTTACATATCTTTTGTTATAGAGTTTTTGTTTTAACAACCCCTGATTAACTTTGTAAAAAGGCTAATTTTGACTTTAAATAATAAAAGATGTCATTTTCAACGCCAACTTTGACGAAAAAGGTCATTTGTAGCAAAAGCAAAAGCTGTTTAAACGATATCAATGGATCCGTTAGACAATGTTATGTTGCACCGTTAAAGTTTAAGAAAGGCCACTTTCAACCCTAAAGTTTGAAAATGGGCCCATTTTACCCATCTTGGGTGGCATTGGCCAAATGCAAAGTATCCATTTTACCCTTATATTTATGAATTCAGGTGGAAATTTATTAAAATACCCTAAAAGAATTTTTCACTTTTAATTAAAAATTAGATTGAAAAGAATAAAGTAGTTTTACTCTATAAAAGTGATAGGTCTAGTTAAGTCTAGAAGAGCAAATCTGACATTTTGGGTTACTAGTAAATGTGTAAATGTGGGCGTGCATTGCATGTTGAAATTTTAAATTACAATGACAATTATTATCATCACCATTATTACTATTATTATTGTTATTGTTGTTGTTGTTAATATTATTATTTAATTTTGTATTCCATTTCCATCATGAATAAAAATAATGTTTATTTAAACAATGCTTTTATTTAACATGAAGATTATATAACATTAGAAATGTCCCCAAATGTTTTTGAAAAAATTATATACTTTTTATTTTTTGTGTTCTATCTTTTTTAAATATTTATTATTCATCGTTAATAAAAATATTTCTTACATTTCATACGTAATTTTATTTAGTATAATGAATCATCAATTCTTTTTTTTTTGTATTTACTTTTTAAAATATTTATTTTTATATTATTAAAATCAATATTTTGGATTTAATTAATAGAATTTAATGATAAGAAAAATATATCTTAAATGTAGGATTTAATGAGAGAATATAACTTAGATATGAGACTTAATGAGAGAGAATAGGAAAATAATTTTATTTCCAATTGGTTTTAAATTTTATATTTTATTTCTGTCATTAATTAAAGTATTTCTTATTTATCATACTTATTCTTGTGTGATATGATAAATATATGATCATATTAAAGATGTTCCCAATTTTTTTTAATTTCTATATTTTTTGCATTTTATCAAGTTTTAATTTTTTTATTTAATTGTGGCAACAGTGCAATATGGATTGGCCTATTAGACCCAAAATTGTTTAATTTCTTACCACCACAGAAAAATAAAATATTTCCAAGTCAATTTCAAAAGTACAAGTTTATATGTTATTAGAATTATTTATGTATGGATTTAGTAATTAAAAGAAACAAAAATGCTTTAAATATATGATTAAATGAGGGTGAATGAGAGTTAATACCTTAATGGAATTTAATAAAAGAGAATTGAATGCAATGAATAATAGTATTCAAATTACATTATCTGCCCTTATAATAGATAGTGACCATGTTTCAAAACGGGGTATTTTAGTAAAAAAAAATCCAAAAATCTTAGACCCTATTCATATTTTTTATAGTAGTATAGATATAGATATTGAAAGATGTCCTAATAAGTTGTAAGGGTGATTTCGTAGTCTCCATTACCGGGACAAAGATGGAAGGAGGTAACTGCAGGTTTTTATGTACATGCATCATAATTGACCCAGTATTATAAGTAGAACTTTAAACGATTTGATCTCTTTTACACCTCATCTCTCGATGCCTATGTTTATTAACCTACAGAGAAGTCATATCCATTTACTAGGTAGACTTCACTGAAGGAACAATCCCCACCTGATATTTTTCCACAACGTCCCACAGCACATCTCTGTCGTGTATTAGGAACATCTCTGATGAGTATCATTGGGAGATGTTCCCAATGCGGAGGGGATGTGCTATGGGAGGTTGTGGGAAACTATCTTGTGGGGGGCTGATTTCAACACTGAACAAAGACCCAAGAAGTAGAAGATCGCATCCATTTGCTATTGGAGTGCTTCACCCCATTGAGGTCCGCTAATATGTTTCCCTGATTAGGGTTGTCAATTGGACTGGACTTGGTCCAATTCGATTCAGTCCAATGTGAGTCCAATATAAATGGATCAAGTCCAATCCAATCCAATGAATGTTTTGGACCGATCCAATTCAATGTTTGGATCGTCCAATCTGTTCAAATTCATTTTGATTTAGATTGGTTTCAACCCAAACCTGGTCCATTGACACACATATTCTTGTCTTATATCAATGGACCATACATTGGCTTAATCCAATCCAATCCAATATAAATTTATTACAGATGGATCAGGTCCAATCCAATCTAATAAATGTTTGAGACCGAATTGGTCCAATCCAATGTCTTGTTGGTCCGTCCAATTCATACAAATTGATTTTGGACTGGACGGGGTCCAATCCAAAACCGGTCCATTGACACCCTTGTCCCTGATTCAGTTTTTTCATGTAGCTCCAGGTTCAGTTCCACCTTACAAAGAAATATGAATTTTAAATGCCAAGAAAATAGTCTAATTCAAAATCATTAGTTCAACAAAAACTTCGCAGTCCTCTGTCTCTCCCCCCTTAACTTGATATGAGGAATGAGGACACCACATCTGAGCCTAAAAACTGAACTCTACAGAGAGAAGAGAGGGAAATGAAAAGAAAAGAATGGTGATAGAAAACCATGAAAAAGTCCTACACATACATAGGAATAAATAAACCAAAAGATAAGTGCTCAAGCAGAAATCTAATTTCCAAAACCAAAAGATAAGTCCTTAGACAACTCCAATGCTAACCAGATGAAAACCTGAGACATCCGCACCCAGAACCCGATATGCAGATGGCTAAATAAACTAAAAGCGCATGAGATTGAACCAGACTATATGGAATTGAAATTGGGTTGCTGGCTACTGAGAATTGAGCTCTGTTTTGGGATCCTTATTTTTCCTGCAGTTGATCCCATATTCTCATCGTGCTCAACCATCGTCCACAATAACAGAAAATGAACCAAATATTGTTTATGGGAAAAACATTTTGCCATCAAAATTTTTAATTATGGGAGGATATCATAATTTAAAAACCAAACCAGCATAAAAGTCAAGTTTACCCATAAATGAAGATAAAAGGGGAAGTCCCTCTAAAGAATTACAAGAATAAACTGTAAGCTCTTGGTTATAGAAAATAAAACGCTGTTACTGAGATATCTGTGGAGGATCAGCAATGAACCTGTATATATTTTTGGCCGAAAGTTATTTGAGGATCGGGTAATATGGTGGGGTGCCTATACAATGTAGAAAAAGTAATAAGATTAAGGTTTGGGAGATTCCTGGTGCAGCAATTTGATACTTTGCACTGATTCCAGACATGAGACTAACAGTGAAGCATAGAGAGGATTTGGTAACTTCTAAGGGGGCGTTCTTTTTTCGGATTTTGAGAGGGGGGGAAAGTTGGTCAATGGGATTTTGGTTCCCATTGACCAAGAATCTCATGTTCTTTTTTCAGATTTATGTGGGGACCAGGGAAAGTTTATTTTCCTGGGTACCACTTACCTGTAAGTGATACCCATCTCCTAAGTGGGTAAATAACTTTCCCACCTAGGGAGGAAGTTGCCAACACTTGAATGGGACACAAATATCCCTTTTAATAATGGATTTTTATGGCTAAAATGGTCATTGCCTTATTTACAAGAGAAATAAAAGAACATGGGTAAATGCACTTACCCGATAAGTGCTTCCCAGGAAAAACTTACCCAGGTAACTACATTTACCTGGGTAAATAATTTACCGAAAAACGAACAAGGCCTAAATATTCTATGCTGCTTCAACTTGTCTTGGGTGATAGTTAACCAAAGCCCAACCTGGATGAAAGCCATGAAAATGGATTATCACAAACTTCAAGGCTAAACAGTTCTCCAATCTGTTCAGTGTTCACATTACTATCCTTACCTTCACCTTCTTACTTCTACAGTTTAAAATTCTTCTATCATGATTTAATTCTACAGGTATATGCATCCAGAACCTGAAAAGATGAGGATATGTTTGAATATTGAGATTTGAGAATATACTAGATAAATGAAACAGATAACTAATGATACTTATATAGACATGAAACAGAGGTCCACTAGAGAGAGAACCTAGAAGGAGAAAGCAAACATTTGAGATTTCTTTCTTAAGCCTCAACTTTGCAGGGAAATGGAAAATCAATGAAAGACTGAATCCTGCAAAAATTCTGTGTGAAATGAGAAGGTGATAACAACAAATTTTGAGGCATTTAAATCTATGGAGTTATGAAGCATACTCATGTTTACATAATTAAATTGACGAGTTGACATTTGCCAAGTAGGTGTGAAATGTTGGCATCAAAGTTGCATAAATCCTACGATATGAGACTTGGAACAAGCAAAACTGCAAGAAGAAAAATGGTTCTGTTGATTCCTTTCTACAGAAAATCAAAGATGGTAAACAAAGTTTGGTATCCCTATGACCTTGCCAAGCAGAAAAGCTTCTTGTACAAGAGAAGCTATTTGTGAGATTGATAATAGTTTAAGAAATCTATCCCCCATCCATGCGTCAATGGACCGGTTTTGGATTGGACCCCGTCCAAAGTATTCAATTGGACCCATCCAAAATCCATTTGAATGGATTGGACGGACCACTAAGACATTCAATTAGAACAGTCCAAACTTAATGGTCTAAAGTATTTATTAGATTGGATAGAAGATAAGAATACAGATTTCGATGAAACAGGTTTGGATTGGAACAAATTTAAATTAACACTAATTTGAACAGATTGGACTGTTCAGACATTGAATTGGATTAGTCTAAAATGATCTAAAGTATTCATCGGATTGGGTTGGATCCAACCCATTTGTAATGGGCTCATATTGGACTCGATCGAATTGGACCAAATCCAATTCAGTTGACACCCGTATGTCCATGTAAATAGATAACACCAGTAGTAACAATGTCATGCAAATATATTCAACCAGATGGTAGCAAGCACTAAGTAGATAAAGGTAAATGATACACAAAGTACCTGATGAAGGGCAATATAAGCATTTTTGTTTGCAAAGCATCTCTCCTCTGGTCGTAATTTCTTCATATTACCTCTTGGTCAATCTTTATGTAAGGAATATGTGCCACTTTGGACCAAGCCTTCCTATTACCCTTGAGGCACTGTCTTTCGAGCAAGGGACAAACCTGTATTTCAAGATAAGAAAGCTGGTTAAGAAGCTCCACCTTTGACAAGGATGCGACATTGGGACACCTTATGATTACCAATTTTTCAAGGAATGTAAGGTTTGGAAGCCAACTGCGAAGGGATATCAGCTTGTAGCAACGCTCAAGACAAAGAGATGAAAGGGTAGTGGGTAGCTGCAACGATTCAAAAGAGGTGGAAGGATCAGTAAATCCTGCAATGGTTAGGTTCCTAAGACATGTGAGTCTGTGCAGTCCCAAATTGACTAGGAGGCCAATGTTCTCGCAGTCCTTGATGGAAAGCATAGTTAAGTTGCTCGGCAAACCGTCCTGGGGAAAGGATGCAAGCTTAGGACAGCCCCAGATTTCCAATTCTTGAAGACATGTCAACTCGGGCAAGTGGTTGGGCAGAGATGCAAGCTTTCCACAAAACCTGATGGAAAGGGAACGTAGATTGTTGGGCAATCCCTCCTCAGGAAACGAAACCACTTTCTGACAATCCCAGATTCGCAGCTCTTGAATTGACGGAAGATTGTGCATGTAATTTGGCAGACACTTGAGGTTCTCACATTTAGAGATCCAAACCGAACGCAGGGTGCTGGTGGTGGGTAGAGCTTCTAATTGTGGAAGGGATCTAAGACACGGACAACCTTCGATTTCTAAATGCTCAAGAAAAGCAAGGTTGTGGAAATCATCAGATAGGGATTTGAGCTCCTGACAATATTTGATCTGAATGACCTTGAGTGATGTTTTTGAACCACATATTGGGATGGATTTAAGATGATCACACCCAACAATAATCAAATATTTGAGAGATGGCTGGTTGCACAACAGCCATGTTGATAGGAAAGATACAGCCTTGCAATATTTGACCTCAAGGCGTTCAAGCTTATAGGGCAGTCCTGTCTTTGGGAAGCACATGAAATTACTACATGATTCAATCTTCAAATCGTGAAGAGATACGAGATTGTATAAATCATCAGGCAAGAACCGGATCTCATTACAGTGGATGATTGAGAGACGTCGTAAATTAGTGAGCAAACCCAGTTGGTGCAAGTATTCAAGTTTATCACAATTTGAGAGACGCAGAAATTGAAGTCCAGATGGTAAGCCATTCCTTGGAAAGGATAGCAGTTCAGGGCATTGCTTAACTTCTAAACGGCTAAGAGAAGAAAGATGCTGGAAGCCCAAATCGTCACTCAGAGCATTGAGCATGTCACAATCAGAAATCTCCGAATCTTGAAGCGGCACTAAGCCTTGCAGAAGTCCCTTGGGTAAATGCTGCAGCCTTGAAAAACGAGAGATACGCAAAGAATAGAGTGAATTGATGCTAGCAACGCTTGTCAGTAGATTGTTGGCATCGTTACATGGTCCTGCCAAGTCCAATTCTCCGAGCAATGGAAGCATTGGAAGTGTAATCAATCTATTACATCCATACAATATAAGATTTGTCAATGCATCCAAGAAGCCCGGTAGCTCTGTCAACTTTGGACAATTACAAATGACGAGTTCCTGCAGGCCATGTTGTTCATCAAATGCTCTAGATGATGATGATGATGGTTGAGCCATTTTCTTGTCTCTTTGCCCAACATCAAGCAAATGGGCATCAGATGGAATAACTTCTCCAAGAGAAGTCAATTGGCCACAGTCCTTTATCTCTAATCTGACCAAGTTGGGGAAGCAAGGCAAGTTCCCAGTTAGACGGTGGCATCTTTCTAATGTAAGCTTGCTGAGATGAGAAAATGTCCCTGTCCACTGTGGAAAGCTATTGCCAAGATAGCCTTTGATTGTGAGCTCCTGTAGGTTCGTATGAGGCTCTAACAACTTGATCAGTAAATTAGTGAAGCTCTGTTCAAGACAATTCCAAAGTAGTTCTAGCCCACGAAGGTGCTGCTTATCCTTCATAACTGAGTTTTGCATATGCTTTAGCCTTTCCGCTTCGTGAAGGCTTTCCACGACGGTGGCATCTATGGAAATGCAAATATTCCCTCGGAGCAAAGACAAATGCTCCAACTCAGAAACCCTAACAATACCACTTATAAAGCCCAAGCTTGTCCTGTCTAGGTACAAAGAAATACTAGACAAAGTTCTGAGATTCGTTAATCTACATATTCCTGGTACAACTAATCCACTAAAACATTGGCATTCATTTCTTTTAAGATGCCGGAGGTTAATCAAGCACCCTGTATTATTTGGCAACCATTTGAGTTCTCGGCAACCATCAAGTAACAGTGTCTGTAAATTGTGGAGTGAACATATTGATTCCGGTAATCTTCTAATTGGAGTGTAAGAGAGATCAAGAAGCCTCAGATGGATCAAATTGCTTATGGAATCTGGCAACTCAGTAATGTAATAATAACTCAAACATAACACACGTAAGCATCTTAGTTTGGTAAACAGATCATGGATGACCTGTTTAGGAAGGTACAAGTGCTCATGCTCATACTGAAAATACTGTTGTTTTAAGGGTAAGAATGTGCGCAGATCCCCAACTTTATCAAAGATGTTAAATTTCTTTAGCCCTTCATACTGTCCACGATAGTATGAGCAATACCGAGCCTTTCTAGAAATATTTCCAGCATTGGATCCATCCTTCAACCATAGGTAGGTTTCCCCTGCGATAAATCTTGCTAAGTCATTCATGAGGTCATGCATCACATATGTGGATTTATTGAATCTTGATTGTTGAAAGAATGCTGCCTGAAGTAGATGGTTAAAATATTCATCACCAATGTCCTCCAATTCTTTCCCCTGTTCTGGTTCCAGCAGACGTTCAGCCATCCAAAGAAGGATTAAGTTCTCCCTATCAAATTCATAACCTTTAGGGAATATGGAACAATATGAAAAGCATCGCTTTAAATTCCCAGGAAGATGAGAGTAGCTCAATCTCAGGGCAGGAATAATTGGATCATTGGGTAATTTCCAGATTTCACTGTACAAGATGTCGTTCCATTTTTTTTCCTCTGTTTCTCCAAACAAAAGGCTTCCAAGTGCTTTTGCTGCTAAAGGCAAACCTTCACATTTCTTTACAATTTCCTTGCCAATCAATTCCAAGTTTGAAGAAGCCAAGGTTTCATCTCTAAATGCATGGCGTCTAAACAGTGACCAACAATGATCATCTGATAAGATGTTAAGTTTATAAGCATGAGCAGAGCGTGTAGCTTTCGAAGCAACAATTTCATTTCGTGTGGTCACTAGAATTTTACTTCCTTGTACCCCAGCTGGAATTTTTAGAGAATCCCAGGCAATATAGTTCTCAACCCAAACATCATCCAGAACAAGCAAAAATTTCTTCCCCATTAATAACTTGTAGAGTTTAGCTTGAAGTGGAGCTAACTCACGAAGATAACAGGGATCTCCGGTGGCGGACTCAATAATTGCTCTTGTTAACTTCACTACGTTGAACTCCTCTGAGACATGAACCCACACTCTACGATCAAAATGATTTGCTACATCTGCATCATTGTATACGAGTTGAGCAAGGGTGGTCTTGCCAACTCCACCCATACCAATTATGGAAATAACAGGGAGCTCATTGTGAGTTCGTTCAACTGATAGTAACAGATGAACTATCTCATCCCTATCTTTCTCTCTGCCGTAGACCATAGATTCATTTATTATGAAACCTGTTGTTCGATCTTGTCTTATTACATACCTTTATTCTTGCTATTTTGTGCTGAATTTTCCTTTTCAAGCCTTTTATCCATATCTTTGCTTTGGGCTGAGACTTCTCTTCCCAGACATTTATCCATTTCTTGTGTTCTGCTTCTACCTTCTGACGCAGAGCTTCAGTTGCGACCTGGTCCAGTACGTCCTCGATATCATAGGCTAAATATTTGAGATCATCTAGCCACTTCTCCACCTTCTTCTCGCCTTTCAATTGCTTGTTCTCTGCATCATCGAGCACTTTCTGAATTCCAGATACTATACTCTCCAGTTTCTCCAGTTTCTTGTTGATCCTCCAACGAAGTGCGATCTCCTTGACCTCCTTAGAGCCCAACTGCCTGACTATGAATGCCATGACCGCCCCAAGAAAAACTTCTCCAATAGCCATATTGATATCTGCTCTTTCTGCTTTGTGAAGATTGAAGAAAGCAAATGATGAAACCAGAACAGATCGAGGCTTATTTATGGCGAGCCAATATGATTAGCTCAATAGTTATCGCATCGTCACAAAGTCCAAAAGATAAATATGTCCATCAAGATATGCCACGTCATCTTTATTTATGAGACCCGCATGACGTGGTGTTTCGTGATTGGCTCAGTATTACGAGCTGTAGAGGATTAATCAACCTGTTGACTGCCCTCCCTATATATCTACTTAATTCCACGGGTTCAACCATACAGTATATACACGAAAAACTTATAATCACAATATTTATTTATATAAAAGGGTAATTTACTGAAACATCTCTAATCATTTAAATAATTTAATCAAAAGAAAATAAAAATGAAAATATCATTTTTGTCCATAATTATTTAATTATATTTGATTCATACCCTTAACATTTTCAACTTAGTTTAGGAGTTTGTCTCAGTTTGGCTCAAATTCAACTTCAATTGGATCGGGTACATTTATATCATGGTCCCTTCCACATAATAGATTTATTATATTATTTTTAAATGAAAGTTTGATTAACTTTAAATAAATAAAAATAATTATAAAAGTTAATATTTTTATTAATTCCACTAGTAAAATGGGGTGGGTTCAGGATAGCGCACTCCATCCCTTTCCCTGCCCCATAGTCAAGATGTTTTACCTCATCCTCACTTCATCCCCAATGTCACGCAGGTTCAGGGCAAAGTAATCACTCAATGTCGAGCGGGTTCAAGGGCAAAGCACCTCAATCCACATCAAGCATGAGAATCCTCGATTTTCCTTACCTCGTCCTCAGTATTGGGTGGGTTCAAGTATAGGTGTAAATTGGGTCGTGCTGGGTTAACACTACACAACCCACATGTGGCCCACACAAGAGTGCAAGTCATGCCGTGCTGACCCACGAGGCGTTCCGGGCTGTGCCTCCCTCCTCTAGGATAATTTGGGAGGTCCATTTGGCACAACCCACACAGACTCGTGCAATGCTATGGGTCGGGCTGATCTAAAGGCCGAACCATGCCGCACACCAAACTAAACTAAACGCAAGACACTCACTCCCTGTCTAACATTTTTAAAATTGGACAAGATGGAAAACCATTATGGGTCAAACAGTCCGACTGATTGGTCGTGAAGAGATATGAGTTTATACAGACACTCAGTCAAGAACCGGATCTCATTGCAGTTGATGATAGACAAACTTCGTAAGCCAGTGAGCAAACCCAGCTGGTGCAAGTGTTCCAGCTGGGTTAAGGATACCAGTTCAGGGCATTGCTTAACTTTTAAACGGCTAAGAGAAGAAAGATGCGGGAAGCCCAAGTCGTCACTCAGAGCATCGATTCAAGAAGCCCGGTAGCTCTGTCAACTCTGGACAATTAGAAAGGACGAGTTTTCCTGCAGGCCATGTTGTTCATCAAATGCAATGCTCTAGATGATGATGATGATGGTTGAGCCATTTTCTTGTCTCTTTGCCCAACATCAAGCAAATGGGCATCAGATGGAATAACTTCTCCAAGAGAAGTCAATTGGCCACAGTCCTTAATCTCTAATCTAACCAAGTTGGGGAAGCAAGGCAAGTTACCAGTTAGACGGTGGCATCTTTCTAATGTAAGCTTGCTGAGATGAGAAAATGTCCCTGTTCACTGTGGAAAGCTATTGCCTTGATAGCGTTTGATTGTGAGCTCCTGTAGGTTCGTATGAGGCTGTAACAACTTGAGTAAAGAGTAGTCAATATTCTCATTGTAGATGGCTCTATTATTCTCTCCCATATAATTCCAAACCAATTCTAGCCCACGAAGGTGCTGCTTATCCTTCATCAATAACTGTTGCATATCCTCCTTTAGGAACCGTTTCCCGTCCAAAGACTCCCTTCTTATGAAAATGCAAATATGTCCTCGAATCAAAGACAAATGCCACAACTCAGAAACCCTAATTGATGTGGGAGCATGTGGTCGTGCCCTACGACTAGTCGGCACATGTCCCGTGCCAGTGCCCAGAGCGGACCCAATCAGGATGCCAGTAGAACAGGGCTCGATGGGTACCCCAGAGCCAATGGTATGCATTCACTTGGCGGCATCAGATGATCATGCCCCCTCGTATGGACTGCATCCGCAACGTCCGAGGTGAGCTACCTCCTATCGACCTCAAGTATAAATAAAGGGCAACCCCTCCCAGGCAAAGGATCTGAAACTTAAGACACTCAAGCATCCTTTGGGATCTCTCTTTTGTGACCTCGTCTAAGCCCTCGTACCTCAGACTTCGATCACCTTGTACCAACACACTAATTTGACCGTCAGAATCTCTGCCTCAGGTGCCACCCCGGGGCCTCTGACATGCTCTCTCCCTTGACAGGATCGATCTACTCGCCCTCGGCCTTTGGTACCTCGCGTCTCATACCTTGGACCTCGGACACCGAGCTTCAGATCCCTTAGCCTCACATCGGCCAGGAAGCGAATTGATAGTGTTGACCTCGGTCAATCCGAGCATCAACAATTGACGTCATCTGGGGGAACATCGCTAAGCCTCCCCTCTATCAAACCTCAAACTAAGAAAACCAACTCCTAAGCCTCAACCAACATGGTGAGGAATGCTAGGAACACACAGAACCTGATTACGACGGAACAACTCCAAGCGGTCCTTGACCGACTAGACTAGATTGCTTGGCGAGTGGACGAGGTGTGCCCCCAGGGCGAGCGCGAGTCCGTAGACCCACTAGCCCTCGGCCCCGCCGACACTCACCGGGTCAATCCCTTGGAATCTGGCAGCAGCCAACGTGCAAGTCAACCACCCAGAACCTCAAGAACCCCCATCCAAAGGGGGTCAGAATCAACACAGTCTCATGACGATGAGCGAGACTCCGATCAGCATCACTGCCACCGAAGAGCGAACCCCCGGGATGAAGACGGGTTATCAAGATGCCACAGCCCCCTCTTGACCAACGCGTGCACCTCTCCCTCATGAGTCTCAGACCTCTACAACCTACTGAATAATCAACGGGCCAAAAGGAATGAACGCAGTCCCACATGCCCGACCCTCGCCAAGTTTGCGAGGACTAGAACGGGGCACAGGCCCCCCTCTATCCACAAATCGTGGACTTGCAAGCCCAACTTAGATCCGTCAAAGATGAGCTCCACCAAGTCAAACAAATCCGAGCTGAAGCCTCGGCCAGCCAAAGCCACCCTTTTGAAAGGATGGATGCGTTCACCTCGAACATCATCTCCGAGCCTCTCCCCCTGCACTTCAAAGCACTAGTGTTGGAAATGTATGATGGGACAACCGACCCGGATGATCACCTAGAAAGTTTCAAGGCGCTCATGATCGGATACTCTGACGCCCTGACGTGCCAAACTTTCCTGGCCACCTTCAAGGGGGCAGCTCGGCGATGGTTTTCTGGCCCCCCACCTCATTCCATCAACTCATGGGAGCAGTTCGCCAACCTATTCCTTGCCCACATCATCAGCAACAGGCGGTGCTAGAAGAGCGTTGTCTCCATGATGTTAGTCAGGCAGAAGAGCGGCCAGAGCCTACGGTCCTACATTGACCACTTTAAAAAAGAAGAACTCGAGGTATGGAACCTCGACCATACGGCCTCCATGCACGCTGCCATCAACGACCTCCTCCCCGGTTTAGCCCTCAAATGCTCAGTTGCCAAGACCCCACCGAAGTCCAAGGCGGAATTTCTGAAGAAGGCATAGAAGTATATCGTGGTCGAGCAAGCCTCGGCCGGCGATTGCCAGGAGGGAGAAGCCGACTACCATCATGGAGGCCTGGAGAAGAAGAGAAAAAATGGGGACCACCGAGGTTCAACATGAAGATCAACCCCAGCAAGTGGGCCTTTGGCGTCACATCAAGCAAATTCTTGGGTTTTGTCGTCACCTAGCGGAGCATAGAAGCTAACCCAGAAAAAATCCAAGCCATTTTGGACATAGCGCCCCCTCGGTTGGTCATGGAGACTCAGAGGCTAACCGGCTGAGTGGCTGCCTTCAGTCGGCCAAACAGGTTTCTAGAAATTTCTTAAGCTGCATTTGGCATTTCTTATTTTAAGTTAAAATAAGGAATGCCAAATGCAACCTTAATCAGAAGTCATAAGATCTGTGGTTTTTGTACATTCAATTTCCAGAAATTTGTTCAAACAATTTTAAATCTTCTATCACTTCTAGCCTAGAAAGGAGAACAATTAATCAATTGAAATTTTCATAGAGGAGGACTTCTGGTCTATACAAGATATACATCCCTATTTGTTGGTAGATTATACTGTCAAAATTAGACAGTTGAAAACAAGATTTCAATCTGAAAAACTGATCCATAATAGAAATACAACAGTTTACACTCATTTCTGAAAGCTTTGATCCATCAAATCAAAGATGTGATGAGAGATCAACAAATTGACAGTTTTGAAAATTAAATGGAGTAGAGGTTATGTTTTTTAATCAAAAGAATAGAGGGCATGTTTTGAAAATTAAATGGACAGTTAAGGATTCTTTTCTCCCTCACTTTTTTTCTAATAGGGACCCGTGTGATGCATGGGCTTTGTTAA